GGATCGTCACGTAATATTTTTATATGACATATAATAATGATAATAATAATAATAATAATAATAAGAATAATAATTGTAATTATAATAATAATAATAATAATAATAATAATATTCATAAATGCGTACAGTGTACACCTATAGTGTACGTTATAGTATGATTATAAAATTTAAATGGAAACAAATCGATATCACAATAAGTACTTATAAGTAAGAATCATTACTTTAAAAATTGTTTTAATTGACAGATAAATAGTGGTCAAAATTCTGATGGTAATATACATAAATGTATACATACATAATACAGATTATAATATTATATTACATACATACAAATACATATATATATATATATTATTGTATAATCGAATAGTGCAGCTTTTAAGAATCACTTAACGTTTTAGCTTAGATATACACACATACTTCTACGTAGAAAGTACAAGAGTAGCATTATAAAAAAATAAGTTTATTTTTATATTAATATTCTATATAAATTCATGCCAGGCGTAGCATTGAGAAATTCACCGTAAATGTGAAATATATGGGATATTAAAAGGAACAGTAGAACGTTCACGAAAAGTTTTTCTTTCCATTGATTTTTTCCACGATACCACCCGCATATGTCTGTTGGACCGGAATGATATCCTAAAAAACTTCTTTGGATAAACCGAATAGAGTTTTAAGGAATTCTATTGTAGAACCGTCGACAAATGCGAGACACAAAATGTATTAGTAGAATAAAATTTTTCTGTAACACCTATAGGTGGTGTGTACGTCCCGTGTTAAATATAAAAGTGTACCTAAGATATTATTGAAATGAAACTATTTTTAAGAATAAAATATAATACATAATATGTTATATATATATAGAAAAAAAATAATTATTATAGTTTTTTTGTAAAATAAATATGTTTATACTATAATATTTTAATAGTTCTTTGTCGGTCGTCTGGTGTGCTTTTTACAACAACGTGGCAAATGGTTCTACACGCTGTTACTTAAGTTTGCTATCACAAGCAGCAAACACTATAAAAACTAAAAGTACTGAAGGATGTTTAGCTCAATATTTAAAAAATGTAAATAGTATCTATTGTAAATATTCTTGTGTACTGCAACTTTAAAGTAGGTGCCTACAGTTTTCTCACAGACACATCCGGTGTTACGTATTTTTAGTTTTTGTAATTTTGTATTTTGTATACACAATAAAAATATATCTCATACATTGAATATATTATATAAAATGGTGCATATTATATGCAGGTATCTACATAAAATATGACATTGGTTGGAGGCGGTTGAAATATGTTTGTAGCGTTCAGAATATACAATTCGTTTACCTTTTCTAATCGTTGAATTCGTAGCCGCATAGATATATTCTATAATGTATTAACATGACATAATGTTTGTGGGTATACCGTCTAAATACGGATAAAAATAAATAATTTGTCTAGTTAAAATAATCAATCTTTGGAGTTTCAAATAGTAAACATAGTAAAATATTTTTTACGAGCGTTAGAAAAAATAAATATAATCTATACACCGTTATGTGCTATTATACTATAATATCAAGCATTTCTGTTCGTCAAATTAATCGTCTAAAACGCGTGCTTGTACCAGCACAGGGTATATCGGAGTATAAATCTATAATAGTGCACCGACCTACAATACGCGAGTTCACGACAAGGTCGTGAGAGAACGAAATATTAGAAAAAAAAATAAAGGTGAAAAATATATTCACGGGCTTGTCGCGAATGTAATGGAATCTTTGCAAAGTCAAACGGTGACGACAGCGACAACGACACGTATCTTAAATATTTTGGTACTACATCAAACATGAAAAAAAATAAACATAGAAAATTCAAGTCGAAACCCCAAAATTGCAGTTTTGGGCGTTCGAATACATGATACGTGTCCCGAATATATAAAAAAAACTTTTCGAGTCAGTTTATGATTACCGTACGTATAACTATAATACAATATCATATATACGTATGGGGAAACCTTTAAAATACTTTCCGACAAACGTGTACTAAATATTTTTTTAGAATTTTCGCTTAAATTTTTCGTGTTCATTTTAGTGAACACGTGGGTCCGTGTACCGCCCATCGTGAAATACAGAGGTACAAAAACCCCTGCGTGTGCTAAACATTATTATCATTATCATTATTGTTAAAAATAATAGTAATGATAGTAATATAATAGTTAACTAATAATCCAATAATATTAGGTCTTTGTGACGTAACAACATTAAGTTAAGAACAAAATAATTAAATACAAATAACGGCAATCTTACTATTCGAATAAAATCTAAGATACCTATTATATAAGAGTTTAGACAATTATTATAGGTAATTTGTTGTTTTTTTAACTATCTATAGTTTCTAAATCATCACCATAACAATTTAATTTTGTAAACTTCTATACGGTTTTAGAGGGTTAATCCAATTAATCGTGTGTGAAATTCAGCCTCGTATTTTAAAAGTATTTGTAAAACTAGTACTATAAAAGGTTCAATGCAAAACATAATATAGGTAGTCGAACATTCCAAAAATACCAGACGTAAAATTAATAAACTTACACGTATAACAGAAGGTTTTGTTGTCAGTTTCTAAATTTGAAAATTAATGTTTTAATAAATCGCTAATGATTTAACAAAATACCTAGGTTCATCTAAAACAGAAAAAGGCAGTATATTTTTAGGTAAATAGAAAAAAATACACTTAGTAATTTATTGGTATATTATATTTCTATTTAATAATATTTAAATATTATTTTTTAAGTGTCAGGGGTTATTGCATAATTTTTTAATAGTATATATAAATAATTAATATCAACATTGTGAATAAACGTTTTAAAAATTAATAATATCTACATATCGTACCAAATGTGGCATACAATATTCAAAATGAACTGAATTTTTAGAATTTCGAAATATGAATAAAAGGATAAAAGTATTTTTTAAGTTATATTTCAGCGAAAAAATGTATCCCATTATACATATTTTATACTTTTCATTCATTATGAATACCAATGGTTTACAAGGTATTCGCCATGCTTGATTTTTAAATTCAGTATAAAATCAATTGAAGAATATAATTTATACTTTATAGAAAACGCCGTTGCATCGGCTGATACGTAATTTTCTCTAAATATTCGATGAAAATGTATAAGGAATTTTTATGTATTTTGTAGTATACCTAAGATTACTTATCAATTAAAATCAAATGCATGAATTATTTTAATTTCCAATCAATACAATATTATATTTTTGAATTTTTTAAAGAAGATGTAAAAATTTAATGAATGGTTTGTGGTTGGTTTTGTTTCATTGACTTTATGTATTATGTATGAACATTGTGATAAGTTTTATGATGCATCAAGTATCTTTTACTTTACCTTCTTCTAACTTGATATGGGAATGTGAAACTTTTTTATGATAATGAAATAATTGTTCTGTCAGCACGTTATTATAATATATTCATATAAATATCACATATTCCGCGGGAAATTAATTAAATACAGGCGTTCAAAAAAAAAATGTGAACACACGTTTTAAATTATAAATAAAAAACTAAAAAATTAAAAACCCACAGGCTGCAAATAAAAGGATATGAAAAATTGATAAAAACATCTCTGCACATGATATATTTAAATCATAATTTGGAATGAGCACTTATAGATATTGAAAAGAAAAAACCATCTATTTATTATTGAATATAGCATGAACAATAGTATATATTATTCAATGGTTTGTTATTTTAGAAAATAATCAAATACGTGATAATCTAAAATTGATTGTAAAGTACTTATGATTAAATAAAAAAATGAAATTATATTTCAAATACTGTTAAAACGATGACCAATTTAAGATTACGTAGTAATTAATAGCTATGGTCATAGAATATTGCCGTATTTTTAATACTTTAATGTTTATCATTCTAAAAAAAAGACAAGATCAATCGTTAAACTAATAATTTATGATTAATAATAGAAATTAAAGTCAAATAAAGACAAAATATTTTGATGATTTTCTTATCAAACTCCACCATAGTATTAATTGATGTATTATTCGGTCTATAAATAAATAATATATTGAAAAGAATTTCATTGATATGAAAATGAGAAAAAAATAACGCGGAAAAAGTCGATTTGCATTTTTTGTTTTTATTTTTCTCATGTAAAAAAAAATATGATAAAATACCGATATAGATACAGACAGTCATCTAGATTTTAGATCCTAGACACTATAACTATTATTATTGATCCTATATTTATACATTAATAATAAATCGTTTAATAATCAAATTACTAAATACTCTGGTGGAAAGCCATTAATAAAATATTTTTAAATGTTAAGTGCATCATAATTTTTATAAATGTATAATTTTGGTATGAAGAGATTTAATAAAATATACGATTGAATTTATACATATAATCTTTAATCGTATTTTAAATAAAAAATGACTTCATATGAAAAATGAAAATTTTCTATGACCTAAAATAATATCTATTGTAAAACGATATTAGATTGTCTTTCGAGCCAAAAAATTTAAATAAAACTGAAAATATGAAACAATTAGAAGACTTAACATAGATATTAAGGCAATATAAATTTAAGCTTAATGACAAATATTTACAACGAATATAGCAATATCTTGATGGTGTTTATTGTATTAAATTGAGGCTTTAAAAATAATAATTATTTTTAAATAAGTACTTCTGATTGTATTTACCTAATAATTTAAAAGAAGCCGAGAATTCCCTACGATTTCAGTAAATTCAGGCATGGCAAGGGAACAAAAATAATTATGTTGTTTCAAAGAGTTGGAAGAACTATCAGTGTAAAATGTGTAAATACGTAAATCATTTTTTCGAAAATTGGGATAGTTAAAAAAAAGAAAAAATATTATAAACAAGGGATTTAAAAATGTGTTAGTATTTTTTTCCTATTCCAAGATATTTTTATAAATTTTTTTACAATATTTAAACTTTATTTTTCACGTATGTACATATATATTTGTAATTAATTATTATTATACTTACGGGCGTGTTTTTACCTGTTTAATACAGGTAACTATATAATAAACATGAATATATTATTATATTATGCGTGACGAAGTTCGTCGGGTTTTCGCGCGCGATAAGTATTATTATGATATAATATATACAATAAATTTAGTGTCAAAAAACCAAAACAAAAAACGTATTCGTTAAACCATTTTTTTTTTTTTTTTTTTTATGTAGTAGTAGTTGTAGTTTGAAATACGCAGTAATTATACGTACATATTTTGTCGGTCAAAACTTGAAGAAGGCAAGAAAATTAGGGGGAGTTACTTTCCTGTCGTTCACTTCTTTTCTCTCTCACTCTCTCTCTCTGTCGATTTATCAACCTCTCCACTCGTTCCGTATTATTCGTAACGATAATTTTTACGATAAAATGTAATGCGCCTATACGATACAAACGTCTAACATGAATAAAACGAAAAAAAATCAAACGCAATATTATCATAATACGCACAGGCGTAACGCACGCAACACATCTACCTCTCACCTAACAACTTTATGGTAATTTTATTAAAATTATCGAGTTAAGACCGCAGAGAACATAGATTCTCAACCTTTTCTGGCCCGTGGACCATTTTAAAGCACGAAATGTAATCACGGAACCCCCACCAAAACAAAAAAAAAAAAAAATAATAAATATATATATATATATATAATCAAGTAAATGCGAGCGAGACATTATTATTGTTAAAATCTTAAAAAAACGCTATCGAAACAAATATTTGTTTCTGGGCGGACTCCCCCGAGTAACCGTCTGCGGACCCCCCGAGGGATCCACGGACCCCCGGTTAAGAACCCCGTGCCGGGCATAGAAATATCATCGTAATACGTTTTTTCTTTTTTTTTTTTAAATTTTTTTTTCTGTCGGGACGCTCTCACATGGGATTGTTGCTGTTGTAGAGTATGACGCTGAAACGTCTCTGGGCCTTTTTGAACACGGTAGTGACCGCGTTGCTGGCCATCGACGTCCACGTGGCCGGGCCGCCGCCGCCGTCCGAGTGCCGGTAATGGGGCACGTGACGGTGGCCGTCGTCGGTCTCGTGGAACGACAGCCGACCTCATGGGTGGTGATGGTGGTGCTGCTGCGGCGGCTGCGGCAGCGGGTGGTGATGGTGGAGTTGATGGTGCGGCTGCTGGTGGTGGTGCTGGTGGTGCTGGGCCAGCGGGTAACCGTCCGGGCCGACGGCGGCCGCGGGTTGCAGCGGCGCACCGTCGTCGTAGAACGCACCGCCACCGCCGCCGCCGCCGCCGCCGCCTTGATGCTGGTGCTGGTGGTGCAGCTGGACATCGCGATCGTCCACCGGCACGCCGCCGCCGCCGCCGCCGCCGTCCGAAGGGTCCAGTTCGTCCGAATAAGTGGTTCCTCGGCTCTGGACCAGCGACATGCTCTTCTGGTAGCTGAACAGCTGCCGTTCCAGGCTGTAGTTTTCGGCCTGCAGAGCCGTGATCTCGCGCCTGTAATCACACGAGAATCCGATTATAATATTATATATTGTCGTCATATTATCGTTATCACGGCGCACCGAAATCGGTAGACGTGGGTGTTGGTTATTGTTTCACGAAAATGCCGAGTTAAAAAGGAAAAGGAAAAGGTCGTATTAAAAAAATACAAAAGTGTCCATCCGAGTGCGCGTGAACCGCTCAGCGCGCGGTGTCTTACGGACGGCCGCGTGACCGATCGGGAAAACGGAGAACGGAAAATAATTCTCCCCGGGAGAAGAGTTCCACGTGGAGGGTTTTCGGACCACGACCGTGTTCTTGTAGGGATCGTAAAAAGAAATAATATATAACCGAGAACTCCGGGATCTTTTTCAACGGTCTGCCGTTCAGGGTTCTCTTTGTACGGAGTTTTTTTTATCGAATCCCGGAAACGCCGACCAACGTTATGCGAACCTTCGGCAGGCTCTTCTCCGAAGACGTATTTACTTTAAACTTTTACGACGTTATTTTTTTATGGGTTCGGTAAAACACTCGAGTTTGTTTCACCGGGATGTCTTATTCCGTAACCGCGTTCTACGTTAAATAACCAATAAACTATCATTTTTCGACGGTGCGTTGTTTCTTGCCGCGCAACTGTGTATAAGTATCACGGTTTCTTCGTAAGCAATGCGACAATCGTTACAGAAAAAATGTCAGTGATGAGACTGAAATTTGGAAGGTATGCGTGGATAAAGTAAGCTTCAAAATCGACGATCGTAATTTTATTGAAAACAACCCGACAGGAAAGTGATCGCTGGTAAGAGCTCGCTTACCAAGTGAAAATTGTGTTACTATAGGATATAGGATCAATAGACTCTGGAGTGCAACGGAAAGAGGGGAGGAGAAATAGATAGAGGATTTCGATATGATTGAAAAAGTTATCTTTAAGCCTTATCTACCAAAAAAATAAAAAATAAAAATGTGTTGACATAGTTCGGTGTTTGCCATTTGATTCCGGTATCATTGCTTAGTATCATCACGAGATTTAAATTATATTTAAAATATTAATATAATATGACTATTATGATTATTAATGTTATATAAAACTCATTAATTTATTGACGAATAGAATAAAATAAATAACGCAGAGTTTCACAATTTTATTGTTCTTATTGGAAAGATAAAGTTTGTAGTTGTCATCAGAAAACTTGATATGCCTACTTTTACACCAGACGCTGATGTTTTTTTTTTCAGCAATTGAATGAATAGGGTTTTTGGTTAGGTAATTGATAAATAATATCAATTATCATTAATGAAAAAAATCATTGTTCCTATTTTTATCAATCTCAAACCCAACTAAAAGATCATATTTTGTTTTTTTTTAATTTTATCACCACTTAATAATAAAATAACCGAAGAACTTCATGAATAAATTGTATATTTCATACTACCTAAATACTATTTGTGTGTACCCCGTGTGAAAATTACGTTTGTGCTGAATATGTGTCATAATGACTAATATTCTCATATTTTATAAATTTTCCATTTTAGAAAATTTATTTAATATCGGTAAGAAAGCTGCGTAAAAGCTTTGTATCAAATATGTAGTCAATCTTTGTATCAAAAAGTTTTTAGTGACAAGTGAGACGAAAAAAATTGAAAATATTGGAGTGGAACAAAATGTAGGTACCTGTCGTTGAATTTTTCATTTATTAGGCAGTTTTTATTTTTGAATAATATTATGGCTATACGTGACACTTGCAGGGTATGATGGTTGTGCGTTTAGACTGTTCAGAGTGTATAATATTTATTCCGTCACGAATAGAGGAACGTTTTTATTTTAAGATTTGATTTTCTTCATCGATCACAACACCAATTGTATCATAATATATTATATTATCCTTTTACAATATTTTTATCGTATTCTATGCATGCAATCGTGTCATACAATATATATAAAAAAAGTAATTTTTTAAAATTATTATTGGTCCTAGTCACGTCGTACATTGTGGACAGTAATGTTTTATTGTTTGTAAAAAAAATCAGTATGGTTGTTATGAAAATGGATTGGTAAAAACGTACTCAAGGGAATTACGTAGCAACAAAGTAGTTGCTTATTGGTAGTATAAATTGTTGTTGTGAACAGTCGTAATAATAGTGTTGCAGTTTAGAGATTAAAGTTTAGACTGACTAGGAATAGAGCGATGTAACTGTGATGGAATATATTGTATAAAAACGGATTGAGGGAAACATTATCGGTAGAGGTAGACACAGTAATATTATTATGTATAGAATTCTAAAGTATGAATGATAAGAAACTAAAGAACGATGAAAAGGTGTAAATTATTTTAGATACTTAAATTATAAATAAAAACGGATAGTGTCTCAATTATATAATTTAATTTATCAATAATAACGTAAATACCTAGCTCGTATATCAATAATGTCTATAAAATTAGAAGATAATAAGTCACCATCGTCAAGACATCAACAAATAATAATATATAGGCAATGTTATAAAATTCAAATATTTTGTTAATACTCTTAATACTATGACTAGAAAATCACTTTAATGTTTACGTCTGATTTGGCAACGTAGGTAGATAATTGTTTTATTTGAACTGGGTTAGACGCCACATAGTCTATAGAAAAATCGGTAGCCTATAAGTAGGTTGATAGGAACTATAATATATATGTTATGCGATGTGTTAATACGCTTGCGCGTATAAACATATTGTAACATATAAGTTGTCTGTAATCGGGATTTATATTGTGTACCAAGTATCTTCTATATAGATTATGTATTCGATGGACCGTTATTTTTTACTTAATACTGTCTATACGATGGTCGAAATATTTTAAAGCCCGAAAGTATGTTATTGTTAGTAACCGATTAGATAAATCGAATTTACAGCGTGGGTCCCTTAGAAGTTTCTATTTCAACGAGCAAATCCAATGAACATTTTTGTCAATTGTAATTCGAGAAGGTCGAAATTATCAACACTATCTTGGAAAAGGAATATTGCTGATTAATGGGCATTAATGTTAATATCGTATGCAGTTTAGTTTTATCGGAAATATCATTATTGAGTAGTCATTAACGTTTATATCCTTTAATTAATGCCTTTTATAGTAACATATTATCATATATATGTATATTATATACAGATGTGTAGGGTGATTCTTTGAAGGTGTCCATAAAGGGAGGTTTCACTATATTCTTATAATTTTTTATTGTTATTAAATTTTAAGTTAATATCGTCTTACTGTAGAACGAAGTAAATATATTTGTGATATAGTCAATAGCACAAAATTAATCTAATTATTTTGAAAACTTCATTGTGTACTTAAAAAATAAACTATTGTAATGTACGTAAAAGGTTCACATGAATAATATTTTTGAATTACAACAAAATAATTGAAACTATTGTTCTTTGTTTAAATGTTTAATTTGATATCTTTAATATTTTTAAATAGCTTTAATAACTACTTATGATAAAATTTGTATTACAATTTAAAGCTTTTTTTTTTACAATGATCCTTTATAGAAAAAAAAACCAAAAGAAGATAATTCTAAATTTCTATATATAGCTCAAAGAAGTACAAATCTTTTGATAAGTGAATAAAGTAAAAAATATATTTTTATTGCTCCAAACAGTAATAAATAACATTAAAAAAAAAACCATGGTACATTATCGGTCTGTTAAGGATCTAAAAATATATGTACTGTAATACCCATAAACATTTGTACAATGTGTAATACAAATTTAATTGTTTAGAACAGAATTTGTTTTGTCATCGTCGTATCCAACGGAATAACTGTATGATTCCAATATCTTACCCAAAGTGGTTTTAAATTCTTAAGTAATTTTACAACAGCAGCTTATGCAACGCAGGCAATTAATTATGTTTAGATTAAACTTTAAATACACATCAATTATCATATTGTGATGCTTTATTATTTTTGAACAACGTCACATTTAATAATATAATAGTGTACTTATAGTGTACAATTACTGTGTCGAATAATACCCTATTCAGATGCTTATACAACCGTTCCGATACATTTTGAAAGATACAATATAAAGGTTAAAATATTAGAAGAGGGGGATGATGGTACTCTGTAACCGACCCGGATTTACTAGATGGTAAACGTAATAAATATTTTTATTACATTCGATTTTACACAATAAAAAAGTTTATAACCCCGTAAAGTTGACTTTTCACCCAATAGTAGTTGTGCAACTGTATATCACTGAAATATTATGAGCGGCGTAGATTAGTTGATATAAAATGAATGTTAACGATTGACATAATAAATAATTTTTGAATCGGAACAATGTGATGGGATAAGATACTTCACAATATTTTAATATGGTTATTATTTTGGAACATTGTTTTAGGATGGATATATTTTAGAAGTAATAAAATATTATACATAAATTGTATTTCAGTCAATCAAGAATTTATAAAAAAAAACGCACTACTCATTTTCACAAAGGATAATTTTAGTATATAATTACTATATAATTATTTAAATTAATGAATTAGTAAAAGAAATAATTTTGAATGTTAAATATAATAATATGAATTATAATAAACTAATATAGTTAAATGTATTAATTTTTATTGGAATAAACATACATATTTATGATTTTATGTTTAAAAAAAAAATTGTTAATCGTCAGTTGTTTGTACTTTAAAATACTTAAAAGGTTAATTAAAATAATTGAAAACTCCTTTAAGTTTCTAAAAAAATAATTTTAAGCAACTATTAACTTAATATGTCTTTTTTTTCAGTTAAGATATTATAAAAAAAAAAAAAAAAAAATAGTATATTTATGTTCTGAATGTTTATTTTTTATGTCATTTTTCGTTTAATGATTAAATATTTTTGATTAATGGATTATAATATTTTAATTTGCTTATAAAAAAGTAAGTTTTAATTAATTATAATTAAACCTATCATTATTTAAATTTAAACAAATAATTATGACTGGTTATTTAAAATAAACAATTTGGTTAAAAACAACTGA